TCTGTTTCTTGCAATCAAGCTGAATAAAAGTCCATTTTTGTGAAATTTATTGGCAATTTTATCATGCAATCTCCTCATGTTGAGTCAGTGTCCATATGTTGGGGCTTCTTTTATTGAAAAAATAAGTGTCCCTATGTTGAATTGTCCCTATATATGTCAAGGTGTCTGCATGTGGGGGTCTCACTGCGTGTCATGTATATTAGACATACAAGCTTTCTAAAACAAACACTCCTGACGCTATAGTCCTCCTCCTACATTAATGCAGTATTTATGTTTGAAACCTCTTCAGAGCTTTGATCTCCTCTATAACCTTTTGTCCACTTCACTTGAACACCTATTCAAATGGCAGATTTATGTCTAAGCCACTATATACATCTGTCCGCAACTTGTTTTCCCACAAGCCTTCCCAAAATCATAAGGTTGACAAGGTACGCAAAGTTTATCTGAGCGAAATAACAAACTGGAATATTTCTACATGTGGCCAAATGCTTTTATTGTACTGTATCAAGCAGCCAAGTGACAGGCAACAGCATTGATTGGGAATGAGTCTTCTCTTGGTACGCTGTCAAGAGTTGAGTCCTTCGAAATGTACAAATTCTGATGGCTGAACATTAACAGCATCTCTTTGTCAAAAGAAGTGAACCCTGTATACATATCTGACCTCATGAGTGGTAATGTATGTTTTTGACTGACATTTGATGGTTACTGCGGCTTGAAGGTTCGGCAGAATTTCCGCTTCATGCATGTGCTGATGAATGATCAGAATTTTAATTGCTTCAAATATTTGACCATACTGCCGATTTGTCAACGTCTCCATTTTTTTCTGCTGTTCTGTGTATAGGAAGTGCGGAAAATTATCCGAGCTCTGAGGCCGCTCGAGGGGCTGAAGAATGTCGTGTTGGTATTGAACACGTCAGTCAAAGGAAGCAGAGATCTCCAGCCTGAACACGAATGCTTCGTGGAAACACTGGAGGAATGCTTCGACTCAGCTGGAGGTGGTTTGAAACAGGCGACTCTCCTCTACGAGTTGGAGCCAGGTCACCGTACCGTGTGCTTGACCTACAGCCTCGAAAGACAGAAAAAGACGAATTTCTCGTCCGCATTTATCACGAGATTTTACTCGGAATGGCTCAAGTATATTCCAGCGTGAGGATCACCGTATGAGTATTCGTTTTTCGAGACCGTTTTAACTGTCTTCAATCGATGGGTTTATGGTGATTGAATAACGCCCGAATCGGAGCTTCGTTCCATACCGTATGCTGTAACTGCACTCGAATGTAAGACCGCGTCCTCGAAGATGATCAACACGCGCAATTGTTGTTTGGTATTGTGACGAATATGTTCGTGAAAGTTGAAGAAATCCTTTCCTTTCTAACTGTCGGTGAAGATCAGCCACAGAGAAGTCTGACGAGTCAAAATTTGTTTCCTTCATCGCGTTCATCTCTTCAAGCACATCCGAAGCGGTTTGAAAATCGAACTTCTCCGCCATTCAAAATCCTCTTGAGAATTTACTGCTTGTTCAAAGTATTGGTTTAATTTTTTTTTCTGAGGCTATGATTCACTTTATCATTGGTTAAACCATGTATGTTGCTGACAATAAGAATGAGAGACATCCATGAAAAATCGCACTCTTGCCTTCGAAATTCCGCTTTGGGAAAAGAGCGTTTTACTTTCGAGTGAACGTGAACGCAAAAGCAGTTCTTTTAAAGGCCTATGATAATGTTTAATTTACAGTATGCTGTGCATAATGTTTTGAAGTACCGTTTGTGTATTGGTCATTTTTCTGTAAGCTGCCATTATTATAATCGGTAAGGCATTTTGGCCACAGGAACCAGTAAATATGATTGCGAATTTGTGTCATTGCGGAAAAGCGGGAGGACGTTGTTAACGAATCCAAGTAGGTACTGTACTGTGATGAACTTTTTATTGTCAAGATACCCATCTATGAATCCCCGTTTTATCTCAACGTTGTTTCTGCAGTTGACGAAAATGTATGGAATATTCCTTCAGCCCCGTTTTGAAAAAAGAATCGTTCTCCACTCAGTGCTGGGGTTGATAATTTCACAGTATTTTATGAATGTATTCAGGTCTGGTTTTCCATTTGAGTTGAGAGTTCATTGGAAATTATTATTGGTCACTCGACTTCTTCATGATATGAATGCGTGTATATTGTACTGTACTGTATGTGAAAGCGAAGATTTGTCGTGTTTAT